GTTACATGTTAATGTTAACAGTTGTATAATTGTTGTTAAAGTTGAGTTGAAATAAATTGCGATACCAAAAACCTGTGTAACAATATTTTATTTGAAAGCTTCGATATTTTGCTGTTAAAATTAGCTAGATATTGCATAGTTTGTAAAAAATTCCAGTGTTTCTGCAGAAAATAACTCGAATTGAGGCAGTTTTAAAAACAGTTTGTGGCTAGATATTAAATGATTTTCTTTAAGGATATTTTTGTTTGTGGCGGTATTTAAAGTAGAACCTTAATGATATTCATTGAACCAAAGATGTAATTTTCTTTGTTTATTGACTTGTGGCGGTTTTTGATTAAGCCATCAATATGCTGATTTTAAAACTGCCAGCAGATTTTTCTATCAGCTCTAGTTTTTGAAATAGATACTAAACAAATTTAGTTCTATAGTCTATTTTTATGTATGAGAGAGTAATAAAATAATAAAGCGTTCGTAATCCATAGGCGTATCACTTCTTTTAGTAGACAGTTAAACTATTTTTTGAAGTTATTCCTCGATTATACACTTATATTTTCACCTAATTAACCTGCTTATAACTTCTAAACAACTGAAGGTAAAAAAGTGCAATTTTTTCTAAAATGTTTTATTTTTCCACAAGGTATGTTAAGAACATTGTGTCAAACGGGTTATGTAGGTATAAGGGTTTAAACTTTAACTTTTAAACAACGTTACGTTTATAAATAATAATTTTAATATAAAAACTACTTCTTACCTACAAATCCAAATCAGAGTCGAAATCAGAAGATGAACTGTCGCAACCAATATTTACAATGAGTGGCTCGATTATTTCATCAGTTATATTGTCCAACTTCCACATTTTCTCTTCTTTAATCGTATGATTTACTGTCTTTTCCCAGTTTTCAGGCTTCACATTATTTACAGTCTCCAAAAACAACTGTTTAACATCACTCATTTTAAAAGAATTATTTTTCCTTGAAACTTCTCCCTTTATCTGTGCCCATATCAGTTCAATCGGGTTTACTTCGCAATGATATGGTGGTGATCTAACCACCGTCATCCCACGATTTTTTGCAATTTCATATTTTTTTAATTTCTCTTTATGAAGGGAACACAAATGATACAGTTCATTTCTCACAGAACCGGGATGGAACTTAATATTCTTTGAATTTAGCCAATTCTGTAAATCTTTTTTAACCACTTGGTTGTGGGCATTTTTTCTATAAGTCTCGAGTGATAACTTGCATTATCCATTACTATTATACAGTTCTGAGGAAGAAGATCTATAATTTGTTCGAACCACTCTTTAAAGACATCAGCATTCATGTCCTCATGAGTACGAGTAGATTAAAAAGTCAATAAACCACCTTTAACAAAACCGTTTGAACTACCGACGTGTACTATTATTAGTCTGCGCCCCTTTCCTGATGGTGGATTTAAATCAGTAGATAAATTATTTAAAAAAGCCTGTCTTCGACTTGTAACAGTTTCATCTTGCCAAAAGTTATTTGGTTTATGTCCCTCGTTGATCCATGTTTCATCTAAATAAAATATAATAGTATTTCTTCTTTGGTTTATCATTTCTTTTATAGTCCTTAGGTAATTTCTTCTCCATGCTACAATATCGCTTCTTTCTATTAAAATAGACTTTCTGGAATGCTTTTTCCATAGAAAATCTATTTCTTTTAAAAGTTTCCATAGTGTGCTTCGACTCATTTCATGGTAATCCTTATCATCTCGAACCGTGTCTACTTTTCTAAAGAAGAACGGATGCACTTTATTTCGAAGTCTTTCTTTCAAAAGATTTTCTAATTGAAATTTTGGATTTCCTGGAGCTTTACGTGCTGTTTGAAACTCGCCACATTTCTCTTCTTTAACAACTCTGTAAATCGTAGATTTCCCAACACCAAGCGTACTACTAACTAATTCCACTGTGTCATCAACACTTTTACATAAATGTTTGTCTGTAAATGATTTAAAACAATTAAATAGTAATGTTTTTTCATTAACTGTTAAAGGACCGATTTTTTGTTGTTTACGCGGCCCTTTCAAATTTTCCATGATCACACTAGAATTCACACTGCACCTTGCAAGTTGCAACTAAACGACATTTAGTAAACTGTCAAGAATACACAACTTGGACCTCCTTACTAAATGGTAAACCTATAATCGCATTTTCGGTGAAATTTGTTGGGAAGGTATTTATCTACTTATAATTCAATTACTGTAAGAAATTCTTGGAATTTAAATAAAACAAAATTGGCAAATAGGTACTTATTGAAAATAATCTTAAGATACGGCTATATAATCTTTAATACACAGGACTTTTGGCCTGTCCAAACCTTTTTCTATTGTTCTGTACAGCTTATGTTTATAAAGGACCAATAAAAGACCCAAAACTTGTAATAGCTCAGGTACATTTATTACAATTTTAGGAAATATTTAGATTATTCTGTAAAAATATTTAAAATGACCGTACTAAGTTTTGCATTAAAAATGCTGTTTTATTACTCCCTCATACATAAAAATAGACTATAATAATAGGCAAAAATAAATATCTTTTTACTTCAAAATAGAAATTTCCTGCACAAAATTAGAATCTAATTAGCCAAATATATACCTGGAATTGTCCGCGAACCAACCTTTCTATACCTGGTTAACCGGCATAAGTTAATTATGCAATTTTGACTAATTTTATATTTAGATTGCTTATGATCCGATCATCCTATACCTGCTTAAACGTCACTAATTAATCTCAGAAACATTATACTTTTTTTCTACCTTTACCCTTCTTAATTTAGTATATTATTGAGTTTTTGCAAGTAAAGTTGTACTATCATTCTGTGTAAATTTTTGTCTCTTCATAGTGTTAGAACTATAACAATGGCATCCACAAGCAGACGTAGTTGTGTAAACCATCCAGATGTTGTTTGTTTTGTATGTTGTGAATACACTTTAAAAAAAAGTGACTTTGTGAAAAAGGCTTATTTTGTCTATTTTGGCGTTCATTTGGGATACTAGGATTAATCTTTGGCTCTACATATCGTATGTAAAACATGTATTGAACATTTGCGACAGTGGTCAATTGGAAGGAGGAGGTGCCTAATGTTTGGTGTATCAATGATTTGGAGGGAATCGCAGAACCATTATGATGACTGCTATTTTTGTCTCGTTAATATTAAAGGCATAAATAGAAATAATAGGTACGAATGGACATATCCTAATTTAGTTTCTGCAAGAAGACCTGTGCGGCTCCCGGAAAAAACGCTCATGCCATTCTTCAGCACTCTTCCTGAACTCACAGAAGATGATACAGAAACATCAACGTCAGTTCAAAAAATTCAGTCAGAAAATGACAGCGAATTTGAAGCACACTAGGAAGTTAAATGAGTCATGGGTGAATGTTCCAGTGAAGACGATTTATGATTTGCTTAACAAATAAAAAGATTCAAGAACGAAGTAGCTGAGGAAAAAGAGTACCTCGATGAAAAAAAAAAAGAATGAAAAAGTAAAGATAAATTATTGGATAGAACATATTTATGTAAGCCAACTGAGAAATAGAAGGAATAGACCTCTTTGACAAGATGATGGGCCTGGTATATCCAACATACGAGTCAGATCTATGAAATAGTAGCCGTAGTAAATATGTGGGTATGCTGCTACTATACTTATCTAAAAAATGCCTTATATGCAATTTGTACGAATGATTGTATTGTCAATAGTGACCTAACCTAAACGATGATAGACTAGTCCCTTTCCAAGGCTTTCAAAAAATGGACTATAAGAAGTTAGATATAAACAACTGAACCACTTTACTCGGAGATGTGCGTATTGTGGCAAAAGTAATAAATTAACTTGCACACAGTATCAGATTGAGCTGTCCGTTTACCGGTCAAAAGACCGGTAGGCCCTCGTTCAAGCAGTCGACCCTAGTTCAAGCAGTGGGCCCCTGTTCAGGCAGTTGACCCTCGTTCAGGCAGTTGGATCTAGTTCAGTAAGTGGCCCCTCTATCAGGCAGCAAGCCCTTGAGAAGAACAAATAAAGACTCAAATACAAGAACCCCCGTAATAGGTAAGATGCCCTTTTTTGCTCCTCAATGAAACTCGAACCATGAAAATATGGGCCGTTTTCTTTCCTAACTAGTAGGCCCTAGAGGTCCCAATCCGACACTGTTTGCACACACTGCAAAATCAGTTCTGTAAATTTACAGAATATAAGGCTGGCAATTTTTGTAACCAACAACAAATTATGTAATTTTTAAAATTACAATATTTAATAAATATGTAAAAATAGGTAGTTTTAATTAAAATATTGAGTAAGTAAACCCAAAATTACTGTCATTATAGAATATATTGTTTTACCATAATATAATATGTAGGTTTATTATGTAAATAGTATTAACATTATCAGATGTGTGTTTAATATATTAACTTAATATATTTGATGAAGTTTTTTTTTTTGTTTTTTCGATTTATGGCCTAGGCGTATATACCTAATATGCCAGTCTCAAGTTTGTGTTCTAAATTCTCAATTATGTGTGTTCTGTGTAAGCTTTGTTACTGTTTCTCAGTCGAATGGGGAATCCTACCAAGGCATCAGAATTAATTTTAAATAATTAAATTAAATAAAAAAGTCCCGGTCAACGGTGGGATTCGAACCTGGATCCACAGGTAGAGACTCGCCCCACTGAGCCACCCACCCCCTCATTTGATAAAGTTTACATACTACATATTGAAAATTTACAGATTTTTTAGGGCAAACTCTAAAAAAAACTGAAAAAACAATTTTGGAAAATACTAATTCGGACAAAATTGTATTTACTAGACCCTAATAAAACCAATTAAATTTTTTTTATAAAAAATTATTAAAAAAATTTATCCAGGCTGTATTGGGTTAGGAAGATTTTGATGCTTATCTGAATTAGTGCAGTTGATACGCTTTCTAAGAAATCAGTAAAAATCAAAATATAAAATAAACGGCGCGTCAAGAACATTTAGTCAGTTTCGCCTGGGTTCAATAAAGTCAAGGCACTTCTTCATTCTCATGTTGAAAATTGTTGTTGAACAGTGATAATGTGGTGTAAAAGTTGTCTTTGTGTCTTTATCTTTGTGCTAATTTTAAATCAATTTCAAGTTGACGCACGTAAGGATTTTAGTCATTTATAAGAATATAATTATTTTTTTTTAAATACCCACTTAGCCATTTAACTTATTTGTAGGTATTTGTTATTTTATTTTTTATTCCTACACAATAACTATTATTAAAAAAAATATATATAGAAAGAAAGAAAATTTAAACATTTGATTGACTTAAATAAAAGTTTTAAATTGCATATGCAATATAAAAAACATAATTATATAAAATAGGTTACTTAAGAGAATATAACACTAAAAATATGTATGATTAAATCATTGCAGTTAATCCAGCATTAAACATTTCTGATTTTCTTGTCTGTTTTTCGTCTGTCTTTGTTAATTATTTATGATTCCAATGATTTAAAGGTTTCACTTAGTTATGCTTCCTACCTATAATGATATTATTTTTGAAATTAGACTATTTTTATTGCTGATTTCTCGAATTATTTTATATTAGCACTAGCCTCGTAACTCTAGTCTACATTATTTCTTTTGCTTTCTCAATTATTATTGGTTCACAATTTTATAAATATAAATAGTTGTTTCCTTTACAATATAAAAAATAAAACACAAAAAACTATTATAGCCATGTATGTCACAAAATAATACGACCGTTTCCCTCCGGAAAATAACTACTCCTTTCCCTTTGGCCAATACCATAACAGAGATTGACCTACATCTACAGAAAAACAGCAGAAACAAATATTTTCAATAATCTATGAATTTGATTTTGCATATTAAGGAGAACTTCAACCTTAGACCAGTTTCGTCCTTATTAGAACTCGTCTGCAAGAAATAAATCTTTAATGCAATCTGAAAATGCTTAAAATTCACTCATATATTTTACTTGTTGCTTTAATTCATCACCGTTTAATATTATTTGTTTATGTTTAGGGGTTTTTGATTGTATTTAATCATTTTATATCTATTTTTCTTCTCTTCTGTCAGTAAGTCTCAGTTAGTATACAGGATGTGTACGAAAAGTATTTATATTAGTACATGTACCTTTTTTCTCACATTTATTGAAATCTGAATTAATTGTAAAGATGATTTAGATTTGTTGTTTTTTATACGTGAGAACTATTTTATTATTTGTGTTCTCTTTATTTTTTTCATTATTTATTATCGGTGTATCTGTAACTATGTACAAGGTATAATCACTGATGAAGCTGTAGGGTCCGATTATAATTATTAGAAGAACACAGCTACGTCATAACCATTACTTTGAATTTCGAATGCATATTATCTATAACTTTCAATAAACACAAATTAAGTAAGTTGCTAGGTGTATAGTAATATTTCCTATATTTCTATAATATTAACCCTCCACTAAACCCCCATAAGACGGCGATAACCAATTTTCCTGAACCCCATGATGTCTCAATATCTTCTATACTTTATTTTAATTTTCTGAGGTTTTATTACTTCTAATCTATTCTTCCATCAATTTTATATTGTGTGATATTATTATAAATTAGAAAAAAATTTCTGACGCTCATTTTTTAAAACTTTTTTTTATGTTTCTGATCATTCTGAATCCGAAAATCCAAAAATCCAAATAAAAATTTCGGCTGATCGTCTGTATGTATGCCGGCACGATAACTCTAGAACGAAAGTTCTGATTGACTTGCGGTTTTGATTTTCTTGAATAATTACTTCTAACTTAGAGCCCTATTGATTTTAATTTTGGTTCATCCTAACTACTTTAATAACAATTTTCTTAAAATCCGCCTATGCATTTCTTGACAATTTTAGGAATTCCAATTATTTCTAAAGTCAAAATTCCTAACGTTCTTCACATTCCATAAATTGCAAACATTCTTTAACGACCTGTCAAACAACAGCTATTGATAGTAAAGGTGAAATTTCTAAGGCGGGTTGCGACCTTCATACTTGCAACCATATAGCCATTAATCGAAATTAGTCGCCAAGCCTGCCAATTTATGAAAAATATATAAGCAGTTTCTTAAAAATGACTTTTTATGGTGGTGCTATTAAGCGTACTACTATTTCGCCCCTAGCCACAAAAACACCTTCATCAAATTTACTAGTTCTCTGTCGCAACCCCATAGACTAATTAACCGGCCATTTTATTTGGCAAAAATCAAAATAATGCTTGGCTGTGCCTGTCAAGCATCAATATGTCAACTGTGATATGTGAATGGCTCTTAAATGTCAAATTATTTAAAAATATATACTTCTTTTGATATTTATTGCAAATAATAAATATCTCAATTCAGGCATTCCATAAATAAAGGTACAGCAACACAGATAATATAATGTTCTTATACAAAGCACTTTTTTATTATATTAAAGAGAAGTAGGATATAATGCACATTTCAAATTTGGATCATTTATGATACCAAGGTATTTTGTTGTGTTTTTCATTTTAATTATAAAGTTGTCATTTATTTGTATGTTGAAAGAAGGCCTTTGTAAATTGCATTACTCTCTATGGATCTACTTTAACATAAAAATAGTTTTGTGGCTATAAGTGGCTATAATTTGCTATAACCTATCTTCGCAAGACTATTAATAATTTAAACATAGTAAGTGGTATTAATATACCATCAAGTAATTTTTTAAAATAAAGTATATAATCTCAAAACAAATAATCTATAATAGCTTTGTTCGCGGTAAGAATCCTGAACTGAATTATTACTAATAGTAACGATTTCGCAGGCGCAGTAGTTAAAAAGCGTTCTCGGAACAAAAACAATTGGTTCTATTCTGTGTTCGCGGTAAAATTATTATTGATTTTGAACCGCTTTTGTCTATACCTGAAACACCGAGATAAAAATAGGGATTGCGCGTGCGGTAACGATTCGAGCATGCGCTCAAAGTATGAATTACTAATTCTGAATTATTTTAGGATTGTTACCGCGAACGAAGCTAATAAATGCGGATAAAACGAGGGGTAAAATAACAATAAATTAAGGGAAATATTTAAAAAAGGCAGGTTTAAAGAGTATTATCACAAGAAAGTATAGTTTTGTTTATTTATCAAGTATTGTTTGAGATTACTTTTGAATACATTTATTTATATTGAATTTTTTCTAATAGATCTGATGCGATGGTACTAGGTCATTTTTATTTTATAAATTGATATCAGTCATGTATTGAACATAATTCTGAACTGAAAGTCAATTTATTTCTTTTAACATAGTTGCAATACTCATCCTTCTGTCCTTTATTAATAGAATATAAATAGGCGAAGTAAGAATCCCAAATATTTTACATGAGCAGGCTTAAGAGGTAAAGGGACCAATTATTATTGGATAAATTGCTCGAAAAAGTTTTTAAACCCTAATCAAAAGGCGATATAGAATGGTTTTAAAAATCAAGGCTTGTGAAAATCATCACATGGTTTAACCTAAGTAATGCCAATGCTTCCCAAACCAAAAAATTCAACGTGTTAATACTACTATCGGCTTTCGGTATTTCGTTCCAAGTTAAATCATTTCTCGTTTTTGTTACGCTATGAGTTTACCCTTGTGGGCCTCAGTCTCGATAAGGTGGGAACCACCATTTTAGCGTCTCTCGAATTTTTACCGATTTTGAGTCTCTAACATATCGAAAAATAAACAAATATAGAAAACAAAACAATTCAAAAAATGTTAGAACATTTTTATTTATTTATTAATTATTATTTGTTTTCATAGGTACCTACTTGTTTTTGTGTATGATTTATGTGAATATACAGGACGTCCCGCGACTGGGGGAAACTATCTGCATCTGACTAACAAATAGACGAAATTTTAATTATTTTAAATGGGACACTCCTATTTTTATTCCGGATTTCGAAAGAATATAAAATTATAAGGTCTCTTTAGATACCAAAATGTATAGCTAAAATTATTTAAATAAAATTAGCGTGTATTAAACGAATATTCATTTTTGGCTAAAGTTAGTTAAAATTTAACAGTTTTTTAACTCATTTATGATGAAGAGGATAATAATTAATTTTTATTATACAGGGTAAAAAAAAAATTTAATTTTAATATAATGAATATTTTGAATGAATTCCAATTATTTTTCAAAAATAAGAGGAATTCGTGTTTATTTTCCTATACTTATTTTAAAGGCATTTTTGCAAAAAAGACAATACTAAAAAATTTTTACAATTTTTAAAATAAATGTAATATTTTCTTATAATCAAGAGTTTTAATATTTAGCGACAAATCTCTTGTAAAAAGTAAATTACTAAAGTAATTACTAGATCTCTGTACAAATACCATCGTCCGATAGAAAAATGTTTAGAACAGGATGAAAATAATTTAAACAATTCCTATAACTTTTGCGCTTGGCATGAGGCGAACACCATCCATCGATCGGTCTCCGAGGTTTACACTAAAAGGTCTTTAGGCCTGTGACGTTTTAGTCCTCTGTTTCATAAGATCAGTGTAAAGGTTAGGTATCAGTGAATTTGTATGATTCTAATTACTAGTTTTGTTTTTGGTAGCTAAGGTCTGGATCACTTCATTGATGGTTGGAATGCCAAGATCATTAGGTATTGTGTGGTTACTTATAATTCACGGAGCCTTAGGTATCGTTCGAAGTGTTTTTAATTCGAACGTCTGTAATATTTTGGTTTTCGATGGTTTGCTACAACCCCGTAGCTCTATACCATATTTTCAGATTGACTTCAGTATAGCTTTATATTATAGAAGTAACTTTTTGTCAAGTGATAACTGCAAACGACGTCAAATTATTAATTTTTTTTATTTTTAGCTTTGATATGAATTTTCCAAGTTAACTTTTAATGTAATCCAAGATATTTAATTTTAGTGTTTACTGGTATTTACATGTTATTTATGGAATCTAACAAAAACTGCGTTTTCTGGTGAAAGTGATTTGTGTGGATTTGTCATTGTTAACTTTTATCATCCACTGTTGTAGCTAATCTTGTAGTAGATTAAAATTATATTGTAGGTATTTTGATGCTCTTTTAGGATCTCGATGAGATCAGATGAGATGATTGCCGTATCGTCTGCAAAGGTAAAAATT